TTGAAACTTACTGTATTTTTTTAGTTACTTTACTAAACCTGTCTCATTTACCCTTCAAAAAAAGACATTCTGAGAATACACTAATAAACCGATGGATCAGCAAGAGATTTTTACACACAGTGCAATTTCCTTTGAAAAATGCATTCTAAAGCCCTAGCTTTGACAGTCTCTAAGAGTTACTCCCTCAACATATTTATGCTTGATCTTTCTACAAGTCACTTATGAAAACACCTGATAACAGGAAAGCATATTCTTGAAAAATAAAGACAGGCTGCAGCAAATAAAATGAAACAGTTGCTGTTAAAGAGTATTTCCCATCTGCCAGTGATTTCTTATCCACTTCTACTAGCATTGCGGACAAAATAGAGATGTACCAGGCAAATACTTATTTCTAGACTAAAAAACTCCATAAAATCTTTATTCTGTAATAAATCCATATTAAAAAGCAAACAATTTCAGGCTCACTAAAACAATTTGATACTACCATGGCTCACCTTCACAAATAAATCAGTCAGACCTGGGAGTACACCACACGTACCATTGCATGCAACAGCCCACAGAGACACGACTGAATTATACTACCAGCATGCAACCAACATGTCACATTATCTACAGAAACTGCAACTATACATGATGTAGCAATAAAATAATGTTTTTGATGGTGTATTTTGAGAAAAACATGTATGTCTTACACACTTACGTAACTCCTCCCTTACTCATGTACATTCTTGCCCCGTGCTGCTTCACACACTGTGCCAGTCTGGGCACTCCTGTTGAATCAGACCCACACAAACACAAGAGCAGCCACAGCTCAAGAGGCTCTGTAATGAGTGGAACCAATAATATCACCAAACCTCTTTTTTTTTTTTTTTTTTTTTTTTTCAGTATTCATCTTCTTAAGAACCTATTTTAATGTGATTTTTCTTCAGGGTTCTGTCCCAGAAAGTGCAAAAGCAATATAGTCCCGTTTCTCACAGACTTTCTCTCTGTCTCAGCCATGCCCTTGTGCTCCAATTAGTCACATTCCACCTCTATCCCAGACGCCTATTATCTTACCACTCTCTTCCAAGCACTGGCCACAATATACTTAACCTCTCACGTCCTCTAACTACTGACTAGAGAAAAGAGTACAGCACTTCATACCTGGTTCTTACCCCACAGACAACTGGCAGCTAAGTACAGGTAACTGCTAAATTCATGCAAACTTTCCCCTAAAGAGATGATCTTAATGAAGCCATCAACTTCAACAAGTTTAACTTTTGTTCAACATTATTATAATGTAAAATCTTTCACACTTTGACCCTTGACTAATTTCTCTGCTAAAATTTTGATGACCTCAAAATTTACTGAGACACAAGATTAAATGTGACTTTAGAAAAGCAAATTAAAGACAGTTTATATACTACACAAATATACAAAACCAGCAACTATTTCTTAAAACCCCTACAGAAAATAAGTGCATCTCAACATTTTATCCACAAGAGAACAGCTGATTCTGAACTCCCAAACTGAAAAAAAAATATTTTCTAGCATGTCCATTTAACTAAGGCTTCTTAAAGAAATTGCATTTATGTGTTTTGTTTGTCCTTTTAATAACTACTTGCATCCTCGGATAATTTTCAAGCGCATTTTAAAGGACATATGAAATCTCACAGATAATAAGGGTTCTACAACTTTTGTGAAAATTGGCAGCTTTATAGAAAAAAGTAACTTGAATTCATGTTTTCAATGAGAGTAAAAGCAGGTTGAATTCTGCCTCCTCCATTGGCAGCCCCAGAAGACCAGCCAGCCAGCACCACATACCACTAGATTTGATTAATTCTGGAACAAGTATAGGATACTTTGCATTTAAGTGGTAATCTACCTTAAGTTAAACATCAAAGCAGTGAGCATATAAAGTGGCTTTGTCCCATTTTTGGCAAATTCTAGCAAAACTAACAATATCATGACTAAAAGGTGTACAGTCCTAGTTGCTTGGGTGATCATTTTTTAAAAACTCATATACACAACCTACACTTCTGCCATGGAGTATTCCTAAGTTAATGCTTTTTTAAACACTAAAGGGAGCACAAGGTTTAAATCCACGCTGAAACACAGATTTTTAAATAATGGAAAAATTAAATTCTGTGCATAGTACAACCAGGATCTAAATGAGTTTTAAACCACTCATCATTAAAGACAGCGAAATCTGATCTTCATCTGTGCTTAGAATAGAAAAGAGCTACACATTTTGCACATTGCTACAAAAATTGATTCCACATAGCATTTTTCTAAGAGTAGAATGCATATTTCAAACAAAAAGAAAGTATTTTTCTGGTAAAATTCTATGACTAGGTATTAACTTACAATTTATTTAGCACATTAACAAATTATGCTTGACTTCTTGCAACCAACAAAAAAACAGAATACATTCTAAAATATTATGCATTTAACGATATCTTAACTGCTCCTCTGGCAACAAGAATATACCAAGTGATGCTGTTCATTTAGCAGTAGTCGTGTTTCCAGAATATCGTGATACTACACACAAACCCCACAGATCTTTTAACTTTACTTATGTCAAGCCATTTCACTTGGCTTCACTAGAATCCAATTACTAGGAACACCACCTAAAGGCAGAAAACTCAGTAAATGTCTGTATAGCATTTGCAGTAATTTCTTGATTGAGAGTCTTACTTGCTGATCAGTTCAATAAAAATAAATCCCTAATTTTATTATAATTAGGATAAATGTTTACAAAAACATCTGTCAGGGAAAGCATCAATATTGATGTCAGTGACTTTTTGGTAAGCATTCTCAAGTGAGGGTGAAACTGAAAGAACTACTATACTGAAAAACTCCTGATGACATTGAAATACTTATAAAAAAATATTATTCAATCTGACAGCTTTCTTGCTTTTGCAGTTGCATTTAAATATGTGGAATCCAAACCAGACCAGGTTGCAAGGAAGGGTTCAACGTGCCTCAGAGCATCCAACAGCATTTCTCCTCCTTGAAACAGAAAGCAAACACTTGCCCAACTGAGATAACCTACTACACCAATGAAATGAGAAAAACCCAACTTGAATCACTGTATACATTCGTGGTAAAAAAGTTACCTTTCACATCAAACATTTAAATATTTGAGTTTTGAATACAGCTTTAAAAAAATCCAGTTCTGAATCACTGGAATTTTTGTTCTGTTTTCTGTAAAAGCACCAACAGTAACATCGTTCAGCATTCCGCTTGCAGCAGTTCAGAAAAGATCAGCCTGATCCCGCAGTCCTAAATTTACAGTCATTTCACAAACTTGAGGTCACGTCTGACCAACTTATTTCTTCCAGTGTTTCCAACCATGGAGATCATGATAAGGAGGCAATACTTGCAACAGGATGAACAGTATCATAGTTTTATGTTTCAAAATACACTCACAAAGAAATGGTTTGCCAATAGCTCTTTAAGCTACCTAGCAATTTTTTTTTTTCTGAGAATAATCTCTTCAACAGATGACAGGTTTAATTCTACAAGACTCAAAAAACATACTAGTTACACATAACACCCAAACCCATTACAAAACTACCCAAGACCTTGGCCTTCAAAGCAATGCCATGGTGCAGAAAACAATTACCTTCTTCTCTTCTGTCACTGCTGGAAAAGAGACATTTCTACCAGGACACTGCCATAAGAAGAGTGCCCATTTTCAAGAATTCTATTATTGTATCAGCAGACATAAAGGAAGAGAGTAGAACCATTTAACTTCTCTTATATTGAGAAAGATAATGGTTTGCATTTCACAAAGTCTTGAAAAGCTGGCACAAGCAAAGGTAGCATAGCACAGCACAGCAAGATGGCACTGCCCCCACATTGTAATGATAGGGATGATGTTTTATCAAGTATCTCTTAAACATAAAACTGGGATGACCCAGATTGAGTACCTCCCCCAACCCACCTTCCTTACCTCCTCCCCTTTGGAGGCTCTCTCCCCTGTGAAGCAACACGAGAAAAACCACCCAGGTCTTCTCAGTTTTTACAAGAAATTGAGACTCAATTGAGGCTTCATTCTGCTGCATCGCAAATCAAGGTACTACCTACAGTTAAGAATACCCAAGTTTAACCTGTGGATCGCAGTCTGACTGATCACAACTGACTGAAATTTTCATTTAAAATGGAGAGCAGCACTCACTGACATGCCTCTCCTAACGTGCCAGTGGAAGAACTTCCCTCTTGCCAAAAGCAGGTATCAGAATACAGTTACAACAGTATAGGCAAAGAACAAATAACTGAAATTTGTATGTGAAACACAAATGCCTAATTATCTGGCAAATCAATAGCTAAGCTGAAAATTATTCCTGATTTCAGCAAATTGTGGCTAGTACTGAATGTAATGCTATTGCTACAGCATCATTAGCCCTGCTTATAAAGTAGTGCAGAAACAGCACCATTTTGGTGGATAAAATCGTGACATTAACTAATTTGAACAGTCCAAGACTCTGACTTATGCTGATGTTTAGAATGCATATGTTAGAGTATTGAAAATTATATGAAGCACCATTTTCAGCATTCTGCAAGTGAACTTCAGAAACTGCTTTATCAAGTCTGTATCAAGATATCCTAAACTCATGACTAGAAAACCATACCTGAAACCCACTCCTTGCTAAGACGTATCCCTTTGGAATTTCTTTTTTATATATGTGCTTACCATCATTAATACAGAAACACCCACAGGTCTTGGGAACAAGCCAGGCCTTGCCAAGCCACCAGGCACAGCACAAAGAACACCAGGTTTCTGCCCTGAAGGCCTTGCCTACATCTAACAGGACCGATCATTCAGACTTCATACGAGCCTTCCAATGAATGAGACAGAGTACTACACACCTCCGCAGAGCCTTCCCACGTCCCTCAGAGGGACACAACAGAAAAAGGGAAGAAAATGAGAAACACTATGTATCTCCTCTCTGCAAAACCCCTCTTATCAGAGCCATTTCAGGAATTTCTACTCGACAACTAAATTGACTCGAATAATGGAAACCAACGGCCCAAATATACTATATATGGAATCGAGCCCAGCCAGCCCCCGCAAAGACACGGGGCACCAAAACCTCACACCTCAGACACTCGGGTACTCATCCTCAAATGGCGGAGACTCGCCCAGCGCACTCACACCTGTCACCTGCCAGGCGCCGGGCCAGCCCCTCCCTCTCCCTTCTCTCTCTCCCCCTCCCTCCCGCAGCCAGGCGAGCCCGCTGGCAGCTCCCGCCCCTCCCCGGGCAGCCGCAGCCCCCCGATCCCTCCCCGCGTCGAGAAGCTCCAGCGACTCGCGAAGGAAAATAAGTTTCCATCTCTCTCTGAACGCCCCGCTGCGCGGAGGCTTCCCATCCCTTCCCGTCCCTGCTCTCCCACCCCGCCCCAGCACGCCGGCACGAGCGGGGTGCCGGGGCTGCTCCCTCCCCTCGCACAGGCCTTCCCTGTCTTCCTCACCCTGGCACAGCTTGGGGCGCGCTCAGCGGCCGCGGAAGCCCCGGGTCCCCGCCCCTGCCGGTCCCCCGCGCCTCTCCCTGCAGCCCCCCGGGGATGGGACCAGGAAACCGGCCCGGGGAGCCGCCACCAGGCCCGTCTCGGCGGGGTCAGCCTTACCCTGCTGCCGCTTCTCCTCCTCCTCCTCCTCCTCCGCCGCCTCCCCCACCACCACGGCAGCAGCCGCCGCCACTACCGCCACCAGCGCCGCCGCCGCCTCCGCCCGGCAAGGGGGACCCCGCCGACCCGACCCTCTCCGCAGCCTCCCGCCGCCGCCGTTCCGCTCCGCGGGGGGAGGAGGCGGAGGAAGGAGGAGTAGGAGGAAGGAGGGCAGGGGGGTCCGTGCTGCCGCGGCGGCGGGCGGGGTGGCTGGGGGTGTGCGAGGGTGTGCGTGCGGTGCCTGTGGCGGCGCCGCTCCCGCTCAGCCGGAGCCGCCGCTGGGGCCGCGCGCCGCTCCCGGCCCCCTCCCCCCGCGCTCTCTGCGCTCCGAATCAAAATAGAGCGACAATATGGCGGCGGCGGCCCCAGCATCGCGAGACCGCGCCGCGAGCTCTAACGGGGATGCGCCGCGCGCCAATGGGCGCCGGGGCGGG